TTCCCAAAAAATAAAACTTCTCCTCCTCCCACCCCTATCTCTTTTGTCCAATAAATTTATTCTTGAAGGCATCTTTTTCTTTTTTGGGGCAAAATTAACATTTTTGTGGTAATATTTTTTCATTTTTGGGGGGTCCCACGAATTTTTATTTTCACATTTTCTTTTGGGAAATTAAATTTCTCAATTATTTAACATTGGCATAGGGCCCCTTTGCCAGGATTATTGCTATGCGGGTTATGTATTATGAAATATTTGGCGGGGAGCATGTGAGGGGACCTTCGCTCACTGGTAAACAATGCCAGATGGCTGCCGCCACGCTCACGCCGTGGGTACGCTCCTGGACGAGCTAACTCGCGAGTAAAACCTATGAAAAGCGAGTCCATGTTTATACAAAATACCCCTATGATTGGCGAATTTACGATTGCCGAGAACTACGAAAAGCGAGGGACCACTGTACTACATGAACTAGCCAAGTGATATTGGTGGTAGTTACTTGCTGGATAAAAGGATACCTGTCTAATAGAGTATATTCTGTCCTCTACCAAGGCTTTAGAAGGAGTCTAAAGAAATGTCCCTAGGTACACCACAGGGAGGAGTTCTTAGTCCCATGCTATTTAATATTTGATTAATCTCTCCTAAATGCTCTACCTGCCTCAAATAAAAAATATAGCTATAAGCTATGCTGATGACATCATGATACATACAACAGGGGATAAGAAGATGAGCACCATTCTTAATGAAGTTCAAGCAATTTGTAATCGACTAGGCCTCATAATATCTTCCTCTAAAACAAAGATATTATTAAGCAAACACATCCTCCACCCATCTATTTGCAGGGTTTAAAAAAATTAGCTACGTTAAAAAACCCAGATTTTCTTGGCGGAGATTTACCCTTTAACAAATCCACTATACCACAACTAAATAAAAATGCCCAAAAATAGGCTAAATGCTCTCAAAGTTGTTGCTGGCTACAACCCCAACTATGGTGCTAATGTGAGAATTGTGAGAATGATGTACATAGCCTATTAGGTCCTTAATTGATTATGCTGCTCCCCTGTTGATTTTTAGCTAGAGAAAGTTCCCCCCGACCTTTGGAGTTAAAGCAAAATTGGGAAAATCCAGAATTATTTTGGTTTTTCCCCAAAACTACAAAGGGGTTTTTAATTTGAGGAAGGAGCTAGGTATTTTAGTTTTTCAGTGAAAAGGGGTTGTTGGATTAACCCCTGTACTCGGTATTAGAAAAGGGTTTAAAAGAACCAGACATGTACAATGACCTTTTAAGTGTTTTTAGAAATAAATTTCACACAGATCTAAATGGATTGTAAAACGTGCAAAGGGATTAAAAATTTTAACCCGCATTAAACCCGTATCATGTAGACAAAAAAGAGCATTTCATCCCCCCTTGGGAAAATGTGTTCATTTAATTCACATAAATGCAAAATCCCTTTCCCAAAAATTCTTTGCTAGTAATCCCTTCCTTAAATTTAAATTGTTTTAAAACAACCCGCTCAAAAAGAAATTTTTTTGCCCAGCGGTAGTAATAAGTTATTATTATATTTTTTTTTATTAACAAAATGGCCCATTTTCCCCCGAAAAGGGTTTTGGCCCCAAAAAAAAAAATTTTCACCATTCATCCCTCACTTTTCTTTTCCAGAAGGGTGCTTTACATACAGTTTTTAACTGAAAAATTAACACCCCTCCTTTTTGTGTGAGGCACCTACTACTATCTCAGGTCAAGGGCCAAGCCCCCTCCCGGTTTTCCCTGAATCCCTTCATAAATGTTACTTTGCTCACACTCCAACAGCACGTCAAGTATTAAAACCATTTCTCTCCATTCACTGCTATCAAACACGCTCACGCATGCCAGCTGGAAGTCCAAGCCCCTCGCACACAAAACCTCCTTTACCCCCTCCCTCCAACCTTTCCTAGGCCGACCCCTACCTTACCTTAATTCCAATACAGACTGATACACTCTTGAAGTCATTGTTTCGCTCCATTCTCTCTACATGTCCGAGCCACCTCAACAACCCTTCCTCAGCCCTCTGGACAACAGTTTTGGCAATCCTGCACCTCCTCCTAACTTCCAAACTACGAATTCTCTGCATTATATTCACACCACACATTGCCCTCAGACATGACATCTCAACTGCCTCCAGCCTTCTCCTCGCTGCAACATTCATCACCCATGCTTCACACCCATATAAGAGCGTTGGTAAAACTATACTGCCTCCCAGCATACATAAGGGGGATTACCAATAGACCCCTGGCTGTCTTCAAGCAGGTGCTGGACAAACACCTAAAGTTGGTACCTGACCAGCCAGGCTGTGGCTCGTACATTGGATTGTGTGCAGCCAGCAGTAACAGCCTGGTTGATCAGGCTCTGATTCACCAGGAGGCCTGGTCACAGACCAGGCTGCGGGGGCATTGACCCCCGGAACTCTCTCCAGGTAAACTCAAGGTACATTCCCCTCTTTGCCTCCAAGGACAAAGTTCTTTGTCTCCACAGACTCCTAAGTGCACCGCTCACCCTTTTCCCCTCATCAATTCTATGATTCACCTCATCTTTCATAGACCCATCCACTGACACGTCCACTCCCAAATATCTGAATACATTCACCTCCTCCATACTCTCTCCCTCCAATCTGATATCCAATCTTTCATCACCTAATCTTTTTGTTATCCTCATAACCTTACTCTTTCCTGTATTCACTTTTAATTTTCTGTTTACATACCCTACCAAATTCATCCACCAACCTCTGCAACTTCTCTTCAGAATCTCCCAAGAGCACAGTGTCATCAGCAAAGAGCAACTGTGACAACTCCCACTTTATGTGTGATTCTTTATCTTTTAACTCCACGCCTCTTGCCAAGACCCTCGCATTTACTTCTCTTACAACCCCATCTATAAATATATTAAACAACCACGGTGACATCACACATCCTTGTCTAAGGCCTACTTTTACTGGGAAATAATTTCCCTCTTTCCTCTATACTCTAACTTGAGCCTCACTATCCTCGTAAAAACTTTTTACTGCGTTCAGTAACCTACCTCCTACACCATACACCTGCAACATCTGCCACATTGCCCCCCTATCACAATATACACTGATGGATCTAAACAGGAGTCTTCTGGCAGGGCTGCATCTGCTCTTGTTGCCACCTCCCTAGTTAAGAACGATAATTAACATGTTGAACTAGGCATAAGAATTAACAACTTGGCATCTACATTGCAATCCTAATGTTTGCAATCCTAATGGTGCTAAAGCTAACTTATGACACTGAGCTTGACTCTATCATCATTACTGATTCTATGTCATCATTGAAGGCTCTTAACTCATATAATGACTCCAACAACATGCTCATTGGAGAAGCCAGGTATAGATACTCAAAAATCAGGGACAAAGGAATTAATGTACAATTGCTATAGATCCCATCACACATTGGATTACTCCTTCATGATAAAATTGATAGGTTAGCCAAGAAAAGTACCCAGAAGGAGAATGTAGAATATAACTTTGGTATATCCTAGGTAGTAGGTTGGTAGACAGCAACCGCCCAGGGAGGTACTACCGTCCTGCCAAGTGAGTGTAAAACGAAAGCCTGTAATTGTTTTACATGATGGTAGGATTGCTGGTGTCTTTTTATTGTCTCATACACATGCAAGATTTCAGGTATGTCTTGCTACTTCTACTTACACTTAGGTTACACTTCACATACATGTACAAGCTATATACACACACCCCTCTGGGTTTTCTTCTATTTTCTTTCTAGTTCTTGTTCTTGTTTATTTCTTCTTACCTCCATGGGGAAGTGGAACAGAATTCTTCCTCCGTAAGCCATGCGTGTTGTAAGAGGCGACTAAAATGCCGGGAGCAAGGGGCTAGTAACCCCTTCTCCTGTATATATTACTAAATGTAAAAGGAGAAACTTTGGTTTTTTCTTTTGGGCCACCCCGCCTCGGTGGGATACGGCCGGTGTGTTGAAAGAAAGAAAGAACTTTGTTATATCTGTGTCTAGCATTAGGAACAATATTAGGAGAGAAATAATGAAAATGATTGTTATAGGAATGCAGTTAGAAGCCTTTGTAGATCTATAACCCACTATGATAACATGAACATAGATAGGTATGTTTATGGAGCAACATGCAATGTGAACAGACTGACTGATGTTGTAGTGGCCAGGCTTAGGCTTGGTTACAAGTACTTATGGCAGTTTGGGAGACACACAGATGATGATCAAACTAAATGTAAATTATGGGATCAGACATATGGTCACTCTCTTGAACACTGTGCTTAATTGTCCACTTACTGAGGAATACAGAGACAGTATAATAACCTATGTGACATGTCAAGATATCTTATAAATGAAAATAAGATACCAGATATACTAAGCAAATTTCCTAAATTTGCTTTTAACAGATAATTGAACTATAGATATGTAGATATAAACTCATATGTATTCCTGTTAATCCTTTGGGGCCTAGTTCCTGGGCCTTTTGTGTATCCATATGCTCTTGCACTACCATCCACAGGATGGATATGGGGTGCACAATAAACTAGCCACTTCGGTGGCAAAATCTAAATCTAGATCTTTCAAGAAGTACTGGATCAGGTAAAGATGAAATGAGGTTATAAAGAGTGGTTGAAGAGAAGGGATGAGATGGAGAAAAGTACAAAGAGCAGATTGCACACTGCTTATTGAAATAAACACTGCCTACAATTAAATAGAACAAAGATTGGATAAACAGTCTGGTTTAAAGTGACGGTAAACAATCATGACATCCCTCATTATTTTTATACTACATACATTAACCATGAAAACCTGTTTTCTCATCCCTAGGCCTTCCAGACATATTTTTGCCAAATTTTAAGTTGCTAGAATTTACACATATATATATAACTACATAAGTGCCAATGGCCTCAATAACATTTATGTAGGAGACAGTGAGAGGGCTAAGAGTTAATGAGTGAGGATAAGAAAACCTTAGAGATACTTTCCAAGAAACTTTATTCAGGCTTTTACAATGAAAAGGTGTATACATATGAATGAAAAAATGCTGAAACTAAAGCCTAGGTATTGAAATATCTCTGAAGCAAGTCATAGAGGACTGAACTATAAAAACTCATATAAGAATATCAAGGCCAGAACCTTTAATCTTCACTCTTATGAAGATTCATTCTTACATGGCTCTTTTAAGCAAGAGGAAAACATATACACAATTGTCAGCCTCTGATGTGATTTATAGCAAAATAAGTGAAGAACGTATAACAAAATATAACTACATGAGAGAAAGGCTTTCAAATATCATTAACTTGGATATTATAATAATCCCTGTTTTATATGGGTTTGTTATATGTGAATTTGCTGTTACATGATGACTTCACTTTTCTCATTAATGCCCTATGTGCATTATATACATCAATCTGGCCCTGAAACACATCTTTTACAGAAAATTAGGCACTTCCATAAATATGTCCAGTATTTATGAAATTTAGATGCAGATGCAAGAACAGATATAATATAAAATTCTTCTTTTTATACATTCATTTTAAAATATGTGAGTGGAGGAGTTTCCCCACACTCCAGCTATGTTCCTCACATTCCAGCTATGTTCCTCACACTCCAGCTATGCTCCTCACACTTCAGCTATGCTTCTCACACATCAGCTATGCTTCTTGCACTTCAGCTATGCTTCTCACACTCCAGCTATGTTTCTCACACTTCAGCTATTCTTCTCACACTTCAGCTATGCTTCTAACACTCCAGCTATGTTTCTCACACTTCAGCTATGCTTCTCACACTTCAGCTATGCTTCTCACAATTCAGCTATGTTTCTCACACTTCAGCTATGTTTCTCACACTTCAGAGCATCAACTGAGGCACTAGTCTCGGTACTCATCAATGTAGTGCACCAATAAATAATTTTAGGTTTGTGTACAAAGTCTTTGAGACATTAAAAGGTTTATTTGGAAGAATGAGACACTTGTGCTATATTTGGGAATCTTTATTATAGAAGCGTTTAGCCAGCCAGTGGCTTCTTCAGTCCATTACAGAGAAAAACGGTGGAAGATGAGAAAGAGTTTGAAGCAATCAGTTCATTAAATCTCAAGATTGATGAACTGAACACATCAACTCCAGTCTGAGGGACTTGTTACCTCAAACTCTTCTTCATCTTCCACCATTCATTTTGCCAATGGCAAAATGTTTCTGTAATAGTGATTCCTAAATGCTGAGCAAGTCTCTCATTCAACCTGGTGGTTTTTTAAACCATTTACATCAAAAACATTATTCTCCAGGAATGACTCCAATTTTAATAAAATGAATTTTATGAATGACTTCTCTACATTCTAATATAACACTTGGCTTATGTTCTCTTCTTTTAAATACAGTGGACCCCCGGTTAACGATGTTTTTTCACTCCATAAGTATGTTCATGTTCCAGTACTGACCGAATTTATTCCCATAAGGAATATTGTGAAGTAGATTAGTCCATTTCAGACCCCCAAACATACACGTACAAACGCACTTACATAAATACACTTACATAATTGGTCGCATTCGGAGGTAATCGTTATGCGGGGGTCCACTGTATTACACTATGTAAAAAGTGATGTGGTTTCTAGTCTGTGAATTTTCAAATGACTTGATAAACTTGATTTAAATGAAAACTTTTTAAGACATATTGAACATTGATATGGTTTCTCTTTTGTATGAACATTCATATGTTTTACTAGAGTTGATTTTATTCTGAAATCTTTCCCACACACTGAACAGTTATATGGTTTCTTTCCAGTATGAATTCTCATATGGTATAAAAGATATAAATGTCGTGAAAAACACTGTTGACATTCAGAACATTTGTATGGTTTCTCTCCTGTATGAACTCTCATATGACTTATTAGAGATGATTTAACTGAAAAGTCTTCTTTGCATATTGAGCAATGATAGGGTTTCTCTTTTGTATGCACTCTCATATGCACATTTAAATGAGTTTTTTGAGTGAATTCTTTCAGACATATACTGCACTGATATGGTTTCTCACCTGTGTGAACTCTCATATGCAGTACTAAATGATGTTTATAATTAAAATCTTTTAAACACTCTGTACAACGAAATATTGAGTCTCTTTCATGAACTCTCATATGCTGTTTTAGGTTATGTTTTTGATTGAATACTCTTTGACACACAATACAATGATATCGTTTCTCCCCTGTATGAAATTTCATGTGTGTTAATAGACGTGAGTGATGTTTAAAATCTTTTAGACATTCTGAACATTTAAAATATGACTGCCCAGTATGTCCTTTCATATGATAGACTAGACTTTCTTTTCGTTTAAAGGTTTTTATACACAACGAGCAATGATGTGGCTTCTCATCTGTGTGGACTATCATGTGATTTGCAAGATTTCCTTTATCTGAAAAGGATTTAAGACATGTTGAACACTGATATGGTTTTTCTCCCGTATGAACTCTCATGTGTCTTATTAAAAGTGATTTTTTTAAGAAACATTTTAGACACACTGAACACTCATATGGTTTCTTATTTGGATGTCCTCTCATAGCTTCCCTATTTTATTTTCTGAAAAAGATTTTGGACTCTTGAAGCCGATATTTTGCTCCTATATGAACTCTGAATGTTTTTACGTTATTATTTTCTTTTTAGAAAAGTGTTCCAAAAGCTGAATATTGATACAACTTGTCCGTTCAGGAATGTCGTTCAACCAAATTACAATTCTTCTTTTACCCTGCAAAATATAAAATAGATAAAGGCAGCATGAATTTAATTAATGTGACAATACACACACAAACACAACAGAAGATTTTTTCAAGAATTCTAGTAAAACTATGGTGAAGGCTAGAAACAAAAAAAGTTTTTAATGATCCTGTTAGTCAATATACTTGATAAACACTTAACCTAATATTTAACATCTGCACATGCATTAACCTTTTCTCAGACTTGTGCCATACATATACCACAGGAACCTAGGCAGAAAGAGATTACACACCATATATATTAATCCCATACACTGTTTACCATAACTCTTCCAAATGTAAAATCTTAAACATCGAATGTAATGATAAAACTAGCAGGCCTAAATTTCCTAGAATTAGTCTAATGTACATCAATACAGAAAATTTTAAGCTGCATGACATTAGAGGTACATGATACGGGAAAATTTAAAAAAAAAAAATTTATTGTACTGACCTGACCATCTGTAAATGGCAACAGTATATTTTTACATATTACATGTTGGCCATCACTAATCCGACAATCAGTAATCTGGTTCCATCAGTAATCCGGCACTAATTTTGGCTAGGGGTCGCCACACCAACCTGCCGCTACTGTTTGGTGGCGCTACTTGCTGCATAAGTCATTTCAATTTCCTTTTCTCCATTTATTATAACCTGCTTACTTTTAGCCCTAGCCATGGTTCCAACAAATAAAAAAAATGCTTCTCGTTGCGTAAAGCACATAAACTGTACATCATCCATAAAAGATAAGGTGGATTTGAAGCCACTGTCAGTTGCCATGAGCTCAGCTCACCCAGATAAGCTATGACAGGTAAATTTGGGCCTACATATGAGAGAATAGGTCTGTGTGGTAAATGTGCACCATATAAAAAGAATCCTGCAATTCACAGTGCATGAGAGAAAAACTGCGATCGTGTTTTTGGTGCAAAACAGAAACTTTGTAGTGTATTTTTGTATGGTTTTTATAGTTGTAGTCTCGTCTTTTTTTATCTTATTTGACAGAATGGAAGATACATAATAGAAATAAATATGATTTTGATTGGTTTTACAAAGGAAAATAACTTGAAATTGAGCTCAAAGTAGCAGAAATATTAAATTTATGCCCATGCTCAAGAGTAAACAAATGATGTCACTGTCCAATAAGTGTCCAAATGGCCAGTCTAATATGTAGTCATGAATGGGTTGACATTATTTATGCAATTATTACAATAATGCATTACTCTACATAACAGAAAATCTTCTGTTTTCTCTGTGAATAAGAATTCAAAATGGAAAACAAACGTAATATGAGGGGACTGGAAACGTGACTTTTGAACAGAGAAAATGTTATTTTAATGCCAGGATTGTCTGCACTGTTTCTTTTAGTCCTTATTTTGAAATTGGCATCTTTTACAATTTGTGCAAAATTGGCCAAATTACTGATTTATGACCACTTTATTGGGTAGTTGAAATAGGTAAATGGGCAGTTTTATTGTACTCATTCGATAAAATTGAAGAAATACATGTACTACCGAAATAGCTATGAATTTGGTAGACTGGAACAATGGAATGGGTCAAAAACAGGGCATAAAGTGGGTGAAATAGCCAATGCATAAATATCACCACTGGGTTGGGTGTATTCTAACCTAACCACTCTGTAATCTGGCAAAATCACTAATCCAGCACCCAACAGGGCCCGATGGTGCCAGATTAGTGATGGTCAACTCGTACTAAATTTAAAAAGAAAATCTTTGTCACCCGGCCTCGGTGGGATACGGCCAGTATGTTGAAAATACAATTACATTTCAGAAAAAGAAAGAAAAGTAAAAGGAAAGCTCATTTATGTTAATAATAAAAAAAAGGTTATTATATTATATTTACCCAAATGTTTTTTGTTCAGTTTTTTGTTTCTCAACTTTGGGCTTAGGTTAAAGTATAAGTTTCTGATGTAATTTAAAAAGAAAATGCTTTTATTTTATTTTACTGTATTTCATGTGTATTTTAGTAATTAAACATATATGAGCTGTTGAAATATATTTTGGTAGATATGTGCTACATTTAACATTGTGTCTGGTAATTCCCATACAACATTAATGCTTGCTGAAAACCATTTATCAGTCCACTCTCTGACTCTTGTATGACTACCACTACCTCTACCTTCACTGCCTCCTCTCATTCTCCCGGAACCTGGTCAAGATTCTCCCGGAACCTGGTCAAGAGCCTGGTTGACCAGGCGAGCACCAGACGAGCCTGGCCCATGGTCAGGCTCAGAGAGTAGATATACTCTCGAAATTCTTCAAAGGTATATCAAAGGTAAAGGTACGTATAATGAATCCCTTCCCTTCACATGCTTCTGTGTGACTAGTTAATGGATTTGGAAAAGGCGTATGACAGGGTGGATAGGGGAAGCAATGTGGCAGATGTTGCAGGTGTATGGTTTACGAGGTAGGTTACTGAAAGCAGTGAAGAGTTTTTACGAGGATAGTGAGGCTCAAGTTAGAGTATGTAGGAAAGAGGGAGATTATTTCCCAGTAAAAGTAGGCCTTAGACAGGGATGTGTGATGTCACCGTGGATGTTTAATATATTTATAGATGGGGTTGTAAGAGAAGTAAATGCGAGAGTCTTGGCAAGAGGCGTGGAGTTAAAAGATAAAGAATCACACACAAAGTGGGAGTTGTCACAGTTGCTCTTTGCTGATGACACTGTGCTCTTGGGAGATTCTGAGGAGAAGTTGCAGAGGTTGGTGGATGAATTTGGTAGGGTATGCAAAAGAAGAAAATTAAAAGTGAATACAGGAAAGTGTAAGGCTATGAGGATTACAAAAAGATTAGGTGATGAAAGATGGATATCAGATTGGAGAGAGAGAATATGGAGGAGGTGAATGTATTCAGTATTGGGAGTGGACGTGTCGCAGGGGGTCTTGAAAGATGGGTAAATCATAAAATTGATGGGGGGAAAAGGGGAGCATCATTAGGATCGTGGAGAAAAGAATTTCCCCTTGGAGGTAAAAGGGGAATGTATGAGGTATAATTTTACCAATGCTCTTACAGGGTGTAAACATGGGTGATGACTTTGCAGGGGGAGAAGGCTGGAGGCAGTGGAGATGTCATGTCTGGGGGCAATGGTGGTTGAATATAATGCAGAGAATTCTTTAGTTTGGAAGTTAGGGGTGGGGGGGGATTCCCAAAAAAATTTTGTCCAGAGGGCTGGGGAAGGTTGTTGAGGTGGTTCGGACATGTAAGAAGGGCGAAACAGAATGACTTCAAGAGTGCATCAGTCTGTAGGGGAGGAAGGCGGGGTAGGGGTTGGCCTAGGAAAGGTTGGAGGGAGGGGTAAAGGGGGGTTTTGTGTGGAGGGGTTTGGTTTCCCAGGGGGGATCGTGGCATTTTTGATGGGAAAATGGAGACAAAGTTTTTTAATACTTGATGTGCTTTTGGGAGTGTGAGCAAAGAAATTTATAAAGGGGAAATTGGGGGAAACCCGGGCAGGCCGGACTTGAGTCCGGGAGATGGGGAAGTACGGCCTGCACTCTGAAGGAAGGGGTAATGTTGCGTTTAAACCCCTTCGGGTAAAGGGCCAAAATCTGAAGTGGTGCTCCAGTGTCCAAAAAAATTTTAAAAAAAAAAAAATTTTTTTTTTCTTATAGAATTAAAAGGGGAACTATTTTTGTGAAGGAAATAAGACAAAAAAAAAAATTTGATCGACTTCCGGTACATCCCAAGAAGTTTTTAAAAAATGATGTGGTGGCGGCAACATCGAAAATTTCCCACATACGGCATTACATTATTTTGCGGTTTTTATTGTTTTTTTTTTTCTTTTCCAATTTTTTTCTATTTTTACTAACTTTTGGGGCCTGAGAGCCCAATATGTATAAAATGAATATATAAATCATGTATTAACACAAAAACCCGCACTAAATTTATTATCATTTTATTGTTTACCACTGTTGTTTTTAAATAAACATGCACAAATCTTGTTAAATACAAAGTTTATCATTATTTTAAAATTTTTACAATCACTGGCAGGTTTTAGAATGGGGGAGCTTGTGGAACCCTTGAAAAAGGGCACCATGACAGAGGCCCCTTACTTCCTCCCCCAAAAACCCGAGTGTCTTTGCTCTTTTTTTCCCCGTCGTTTTGTTTGTGCACGACTGCATCTTTTCTGAGAAATTTTTTCTGAGTTAAAGGGAATTGTATTATAAAATGATCCCCTTTCCCTCCTCAAACGTTTGGGTAATCCTGAGGAATTCGAGGCCCCTGTTGTATAGCAGGTGTTCTTACCTGGTACTTCTTATGAGTTGTCTGAAAACAGCAAACAAATTAACCATACGTGGTCTGTTCCCTTTTTATTTGGTACTTTATATGCATTGAGATTGAAATGTCCATGAATGGAAGAAAATTTTTCATGTCCCACTTGTAACTCTTACGAAACAGTCAAAAAAACCAATCGCTGTCCATTTGTCAACCAAGCGCTGTTTTGTGTTAATCAATCACTGTCACGGGTTTTTCGAATACTTATTAGTCACTCGAAAAACTTTGCCACTGTCTTGCTTTTCATTACGGTAAATGGTTGTCAACAAGTGACATCTCGTTTGTCATCCCACCGTAATGCCTTGATGTCATTGGCAGTAACCCCCTGCACTCTCACCACGAGCCCGGTTTTGTCCTGGGCAAAATTTTTACGATTAGAAGCACTGTGCCCACACACTGTTTGTTCACTCGCTGAAATCACTGAGAAGGGGCTTGTGTACCAGTTATCGGTATATAAAGTATGCCCCTTACCAAAATAAGGTGCCCTAGTTTCTCATACGTCACCTGAGATACCCCAAAAACTCTTGGTACTTTCAATTTTTATTACCCGTTATACAACAATACCAACACCCGGGCCACTGTCACCCCACAGAGTACAAAAGTTTTATACAAAAGGGTTTTCCCCTTGCTCGGTAATTTCTGCTTAATGACAGTCTACCTTTTGAACAAAAACAAAGACTCGTCAATTACAAGATTCTTGTGG